TTTTAAAAAAGGTTTTTTCTTTTCCTATTTTAAAGCAGAACATTTGTCGCTGTCCAAACTTTAATCTAAATAAGTTTAATATAATTTGGGCCCCACTAGCATCACTTACACCGACACAGGACAGGTAGTATATTTGTTTACTTTATATATGTGTTTAATTAATGTATAACTTAATGCTGTGATTTTTGTTTAAATCATGGTTTGCTTGACTTTTGGTTTGCTCCATCTTTTAAATGTTTTTTTTTGTTCAACAAGCTAGATAAAAAACATCCACCTGACACTCTTGAACCTTTATTTTTCTTATTTTTTTTTCTTCAAACTTTTAAACATTCATATGATTTTGTTAGAACTATGCATTTAACATCTAATATTGTTAGAACCATGCAAGAATAGTGTCATTCTGCTTGAGTTCATGTAGATAATTCTAAGATTTAAATTGACCCCTTAACGCATATGTTTTTTCATATTTTAGATAACTCTTTTGTATATAAAAAAAAAATTCAATCTGGAATTACAGGCAAATCATTATAACAAGGTATATATACTATAATAATTTTAACAAAGACATTAGTCATTATTCATGACTGTTCAGAAGGCATATTATTGTTGTTGTTTTTTCCTTTCCAGTAAATGGATGTAATATTCTATCTAGCCATCTTTGTTTTCTTAGTTCTGTATAAGTAATAGATACATAACCTAATAAATGTCTTTTATAATGACTAAGAATTGTATATGATTATAATTTATTGTATGTACTTGTGAATTTGTAACAAGGTCTCAGAACATGTTAAATTTCCTATATACTCAGAAAAGGTGATATTGAATATTCAATCAAACTTAGACTTAGACTGTAACAATTTCAGAGAATAGTTTGTTTGTAAGAAAATCAATGTTCATTTTTGATTTTACGAGCTCAAAAAAAAACATTGCTATATTCATTTATAGTAAAATAGAGAATAGGTCAAATGTTAACTGTAAATTATAAAGAAGTATCCGAAAATGTCTAATGTTTGTTCATATACATTTAGAAAATACTATAATTATGTAATGTCCTTGTGAATTTATATGCATTTATATACTATTGTATGTCTTTGTGAATTTCAAGATATGTTATAATGTTTGTATGTAAAATCAGAAAATAAAGTTACAAATTAAAAAAAAAAAAAATAAAAAGATCTAGTGGCCTGATACAGGCCCACTTGCAAAACAAGGTTTGAAAATCAAAAACTATCTTACACAACTCTGTTATTATTTAATATCAGTGTCTTCAACCTTGGTAAGTATGGGAAGCCATCAATCTTCCTGATGTCATTGTCAGAAAAGTCTATTGTGTCAAACTGGTCCTGCAAAAATAATACAATATTCAAGTATTCAAGTTCCATAAATAAACAAGTCAAAGAATATCATTGCTTAAGAGAAAAGACAAAGTGGCCACTACATTCTCCAAAGAATGGACAAACTGGTCACTTCAGTTCATGCTCCAATGAAAGGACAAAGTGGTCACTATATCCTTAAAAGACAATTGTTGCATATACAGTTACTGAGTTAGTCAATCAAGAAATTCATTTTAATTTTTTTCTGAGCTATATATCTGTATATGTGATCTCTAACTTCTGTTTTGTGATGGCATATAAACATGTAAAAGACATCTCACTTACCAAAGTAGCTCCCAAATTTTCAATTACAGGAATTTTGTACCCTGAAAAAGATAACCAGACATTTCAAATTAAATGTTCATATTGATATACATCTGTTAAACAAAAAAAGAGGTTTCTGTTTATGTCATTCTTTTTTTTAGATTAATTTCTGCTAGAATTTTGTGAAATTCTTTCACAGATAAGGTGCAATTCAAGTGTTTTTTGTTTGTTTGTTTGTTAGGCATTTTTTCCATGTTTTTTTTCAATGAAAAAGGACTTCCTATACAATATTTTTTTTAACATACAAAGGATTCATGTAGTCAAATGACACAAGCAAAAACTGATTAGACTCATGAAAATTTTGGTCAAAGAGTCTTTGACTCATGAAATTCTGATCCTACTAAGAGCCCTGTAAGACATTAAAACTAGATAATTGTTTTTTAAGTTTTTTTGAATTTAAATAACCAAAATGAAAGTTGAGTTTACATGTTTGACCAAAAATTACTTTCATGTAGTAAACATTTACTGCACATGCGCTGATTTACCACTTAAGAGGCACGAATGTATAAGAAAAAGGCATACATTGTCATAGCTAAAGAAACTTCAGCGAACAGGTTTTATAGTACTATTTACTGTCGCAATGTCAAAATAAAAGCGACATTAAAAGTAATGGAAGCCAGAACTAACATTGTTATTGTTTGAGAGGGGACCAGTCTGAGAGTTTTTGTTTATGATTGAGCATGAAATTGAAAGAAAAGTTTTTAAATAAAGCTTTAAACAGGCTGGTGAAAATGCTCAATCGGGCTTAAGAGTAAGACATAAAATATCATATTTCTAGAAAAATAATTAATATATTTCTTTCTCATTTGTTTTGTTTGTTAAGCATTGATATATGATATAAATCAAAATAAAAATAATTTGGTTATCTTTCATTTTCATAGAGCTATTTCCATTTTTCCCATTTACTAGAAACAAAATATTTGAAGTTCATAAAAATTATATTGTAATGTAAAATTGAAAATAGAAATGTGTCCAACAACTTCATATGACTCTAGATAATTTGGCCAGTACCTTTATTCTATATATTTGAATTAAATATTCTGTTTCTAGCATTTATATTTTGACAATTCTTTGACACTGAACATTATACTTTGAAGTTTTCCCTGAAAACTGAATGAAATGTATGCTAACAGGTGTTGGCGCAATGAATTAGAGCATCAAGAAGTTATTTAACTTATTTTGTTTTACACAAGTTTTGCATATGTAACATACTATTAAAGGACTTCAAAAATTATGTGTTATAAAAATATGAAAAAGAGGAAATAATTCTCACAAAAGTGACAGTAGATGAATATTTTTCTTTCTGTTTATGTCAAATATTATTCTCAATAAACAAACAAAGTTTAAAAGAAATATCTTTATTTCATTTCTAGAAATATGATTTTTCATGACATAAGGCTTGATAAGCTCGATCTGGCATTTTCACCAGCCTTTTAAAGGCAAGACCGTAGAGATTTTTTAAAATTTTATGATGCTATGCATTTATGAGAAAGAACTATTAGGATTACTGGAGGTTACGTACCACGGAGGATACGTACCAGAAGGTTACGTACCATTTTTGGAGGTTACGTACCACTTATATATTTTGGAGGATACGTACCATATATATAATTTATATAAAATACAAATAATATAGAGCATAACAATTATAAAAAAAGGACCGAATTATAACTTTAATATTACTTTTTAAAAATCACATAAGAGCAATTAATATAAATGCAAACGTTTTACCGATATCTATGTATGATTATCACACATTCAGAAATGAGTAATCTAACAAATCACAAACAAATTGCAAACTATAGACATATGAGTGAATACACAGATTTATAATTGCAAGTCTCCGTTAAGTAATACTGATTTTTTAAAATGAAATTTTGCGGCGATCAACTTTTACAGTAAGCATGCATGCATAATTTCTTTCTTAATAAGAAAACTTATTAATATTTAATTTCAGGTTGTTGACAACTCGCAATAAGAAGTAGACCACTTTTAAGTTCCAGCAATGTTACACGGCACTACGAGTGCTGTAGCTGACATGATGGAAGTCGAGCAACGGCTGGCACATATTTTTAAAAATACTTGTTAATTGTGTACATGTATTGTTGTTTCATTTCAGAGCGTGTAACATAATTATTGTTATTTTCATTTTATGCACGGTTCAGTTAACGTGTAAATGAAACTTAATGTAATGAATAAATGATAAAATATGTAACACGTGTTTAGTTTTTTTTATTCAAGGTAAGTAATTTTGTCCGGTATATTAACATGCATATTATTATTGCTTTTGATTATTTTGTTTATTCAGTTAATTTCAGTTAAATGCGTATAAATAAAAAATAATACTATAAATGAAAAAAAAATGTTTGTTTTTTTATATATTAGCTGTGGTTTGTTTCATTGTACTGTTCATTTCAGTTTAGTGCGTGTAATTATATTAGTGTTATTAATTATTTTAAGTTTGGTGTTGTAAATAAAACTTGTTATTATCGTTATTTGCGGTTTGTTGTTTATTCTTATATATTCATACATATTTAATCTCATTACAAAATACAATTAATGCGCGAATTTGAACAATAAACGTGATATAGTTTCACACCTTATCCCTTATTATCACTTTATTATATATTTCTATAGTGGTACGTAACCTCCAAAAATGGTACATTAATGCAGTGGTACGTAACCTCCATGGTACGTAACCTCCAAATTCCACTATTAGACGTCAGGCTTGACCGACATAAACTATAAGTTAACCATCCTGTAACGTCTGATAAACTGGACTTTAAGTTGGACCACTCAGTACTAGTCAGTAGCATCTGATCTCTCATCTACATCTACATCATACTGCTTAACAATCAATTATGATTATGACTAGCAGGCGCGTTGTCAGGGAACTGTTAATAAAAGAATTTATTTATGTGCAAATTAAAAAGTTAAAAGAATAAAAGTTCTACAAGACTATTAATTTAAAAACATAGTGTGCAGTTTAGAATTTATAGAATGGGTCAAGCCTCTCAGTAAAGATGTTTAAACTGGGGCTAGACTGAACTGTTAGGGGAAGGCTATTCCAAAGACGTATGCTCCTAGGAAAGAAAGAATTTTGATGAAATTGTGTCCTCGAGTAGGGTATCAGGTAGTTCAGATTTCTTGTTTGAGTAAGGTGTTGGTGGTCTACAAAAACAATGTTGTTTTGGATTTTATACAAGTAGGTTACAGCACTGATGTTTCGACGCTGTTCAAGGGTTTGCCAATTAAGATCATTTATCATTTTTTGAGACACTACTTGTATAGTCATAATCATTAAAAATGTATCTAGCAGCTGATTTTTGGACTTGCTCTTTCTTATAAAATTAAGTATTTCTGCCAAGGATGCCAAACTATGGAGCAATATTCAACCTGAGGTCTAACATAGGTCTTATATGCAGTTTCTTTTATCTTTTTATTTGGAGTTTTTACATTTCTTCTAATGAATCTGAGGGAGTTATTAGCTTTAGATGTGATGTTGTTTTATATGTTTGGTCCATGAAAGGTCTTGACTAATAGAGACTCCTAGGTATTTCGCTTCTTGAGTTGAGTTTAGTTGGATGTTATGGAGGGTATAAGGAAATATTACAGGGTTTCTTTTTCTTGTTATCCTGAGAACTTCACATTTGTCAGGGTTGAATTCCATGGACCAGTCTTTTTCCCATTTTTCTAAAGCATGAAGGTCATCTTGGAGGGTTTGGGCATCTTGTTTGGATCTGATGGTTAGGTAGACAACAGTATCATCTGCAAAGAGTCTAACCTTACCTTTGACACTATCTGGGAGGTCATCTATGTAAGAAAGGAAAAGACAGGGACCTAATACCGAGCCTTGGGGGACACCTGAGAGAACTGGTAGAATTCCTGATTTTTGACCTTCAACTACAACTTGCTGGGAGCGTGACTTAAGGAAGGAATGGACCCAATTTGTAACCTCATAACTTATACCCAATCTTTCTAGTTTACTCACAAGTTTGTGATGGTCCACCTTATCAAATGCCTTACTGAAATCCATGACTATGACATCAGTTTGTTGACCACTTTCAAGATTGTCATGCATGAATTTCCTTGGAGAAGCTTACTAGTTGGGACTCACAACTACGTTTTGACCTTAAGCCATGTTGATAGGGGCTAATTAAGGACTTTGTGTTTATCATGAAAAGACATTATATTGGACACTAATTTAGTTGTTTTCCATCAATTAGACTTAATGCATGTGAGGGAGATAGGTCTGTATAATTTCTGGGTTTGCATTTTGGGCCTTTTCGTAAACTGGGGCAGTCTTCTGGGTTTTTAGAGATCTGGAAGATGTGGGTCAGTATGGGAGTCACCTCTCGATAGAGCAGTTTAAGTAACCATGGGGATATTTGGTCAGGACCAGAAGCTTTATTTGGGTTTAGGTCTTTTAAAAGTTTCTTCACACCATCTTCCGATATAGATACTTCTGGCATAGATGGGTGGTGTTTTGGAATAAGCTTCTGTTTGCAAGCCTGGGATAAGCTAAGGGGCTGAGGCCGAGAGAAGACAGACTCAAACTGGGAGTTAAGGATATCTGCTTTTGCGACTGGATCAGTAAATGTTTGACCTTCTGATTTGAGGGGTGCCACACCACAGCTTTCAGTTTTATTACTTTTAACATATTGGTATAATTTTTTATTTTTCACATTTTGGGAGTCTTGGCTAAAAATGACAGAGTCTAGATATTGCCAGTATGCTTTCCTAGTTTCTCTTTGGATTTCACTTTTAAGTACTTTGAGCTTTTTGACCAAATCATTTGATGGGGACTCTGACCTTTTAATGTTTGAATAAGTTCTATCACGTTTCCTAATTTTTCGAATAATGGACTTGTTTAACCATGGTAGATCTCGACGTGTTTTAGTGACTTTAGTTGGTATGTGAATAGAACAAAGGTGGTTTAGTTCGTCCTTGAAGGAAATCCAGGCTTTGTTGGGATCAGTGTGGTGTGTTTCACTATAGACCTTGGCATATTTACTTACGTCATTTTTTAAACAATTCCAGTTTGCCTTATTATAACTGATAAGATTTAACTGATCTATAGTAATTCAGTAGTTTGTTAATGTGATGTTTTGTTGAGTTCCATGGCTGACAAAATTCGTTTAAAGAATAAAAGTTAAGACAAACATAAGCTGATTAAACAATTAATTTCCCCACCCACAAAAAATAATAGAAACACGTATTGTCAACGTACCCCTAAGGTCTAACTCTCGATCACGTAAAGGATTTGTGTATTGGGCGGACTGTTCAATAAGTTCTGCTGTGAGTTTCACCATTTTGTTGAAAAGAAATCAAATATAAAAGTAAACATTTAATGAGTATTTTTGATTTTTCGGCAACACGAGTTTTCTATTCTGCGCATGTCTGTTGGAATATACTAATCGCCCGTCCGCCGTTCTCCGGTCGACTGGCAAAACTGGAGGTAATAGGACATTTCGGACCATGGACATTTCGGACCAGACACTTCGGACCAGATTTCGGGACACTTCGGACCAGATTTTGGGACATTTCGGACCAGATATTTGGACGTTTCGGACCATGTGTTGGACATTTCGGACCATGTGTTGGACATTTCGGACCATTATTTGGACATTTCGGACCAGATTAAATATTAGTTTTTGATATATTAGACATCAATTATTCGATAAACTAAAGAAACTTTATATATATATTGACACAATGGGACGATTTTACACCTATCCCGATTTAGATTTGTATATTTTGCACTATAAATGAAGAAAATTAAAAAACAAACAAGCAATGTTTTAATGACACACGTTTGCAAACAATTTATTTTAAAATATTTACAAAAAAGACATGGCGAAATAGATTATTTACAACATATTCTTATAAAACAAATACATTATTGACAAACACATACATACCGTTGAATGTATACACTTAGATAATTATTGATCACAAAACACATGTACAAAATATTTGAATGTCAAATAAGATATTTATAAATAATTCACATTAATATAATCACATACATTTATGATACAAACACAGTTTAACAACATACGACCACACACAACATAACCTCTGCTTGAAAACATGAAGTATATACAAAAAGACATGAAGAAGAATATTATTGGCAAACTATTCTAATAAAACAAATCATACATTATCTTACAAACAAATAAATACATGAATGCATACATTTAGATAAATATTGACCTTTATTGACCTTTACAAAACACAGGTACAAAACATTTGAATGTTGTTAATTGTTAATTAAAACTGTATTTTAATCGCATTCCAATCTAATCCAATCAATTTAAATATTTGTTGTAAAATAAGGTGAAAATTACATACATACTTCTTTAATTGAGTGAATCGTAACTTTAACGAGTTCTATTCAGCAATTAAAACGTGTGAAAAACTGCATTGACAAGGATGTCGTTGTTCTTTAATACCTTCTAGATCACGATTTAATTTGGATAAAGTTGACTTTAAATATGTAAATTCAGCGTATATCCTACGCTTACCAATATAGATCTAAAGGTATTTTATTATTGTTTTAATTTTTTTTCAATATTAAAAAATGTCAGCATATAGAAATACATAAATGAATTACGATAGAAGTATTTGCATGGATAGACAAAACAATGGTAATATAAGCTTATCAGAAAATGTTAAAATCGCGTCGGACAGGTCTTTACTGCATGCATTTTGAATATCATAAAATATAAAAATGTCAAATATTGTAAATACATCCTGAAATAACAAATAATTTTATATAAAAAGAATATATGTTCTGGTCCGAAGTGTCCCCATCATGGTCCGAAATGACCATCGCATGGTCCGATATGTCCCAAAATCTGGTCCGAAATGACCCAAAAATCTGGTCCGAAATGTCTGGTCCGAAACGTCCGTGGTCCGAAATGTCCGTAATTCAAACTGCCGACTGAATTTTCGTACTCTTTATCCTATAGTAAATCCATCACATCTAAGACTAAATTCTGATAGGCATTTGGTGGCTGTATCATTCAACAACAATACTATCCAACTAAATTTAGCACCAAAAAATAATACATTAGCCCTTGGACTTTTCTGCAGCTTTTAATATGTGTAAGCACTATAAAATAAACCATGCAAATAACAACTGGGGTGTAGCCTATTCTGACCAAGAAAAAAGAATCCTCAAAGATACACAAAAACTACGGAAGAGCATAAGTGCCAGGTGTGTGTATTTATGAACTCGAAATTTCGAGTTACTAACTCGAAATTTCGGCTTACTACGGTAACTCTAATTTTCGAGTTAATTAACTCGAAATTTCGACTTACTAACCGAAATTTCGACTTATTAACTCGAAATTTCGACTTACTTATTTGAAATTTCGACTAATTGACCGAAATTTCGACTTAAATATCACGACTTACATTGGTTGCCGGGGCAAGCAAGGATTGAATTCAAGATACTTTCTTTCATATGTAGCTTTTGCACATTGACAGAGCACCTATGTATTTAACAGAACAATTAATAGGATCAAATTGTCCACACAGACAGAAAATATCCTTCCCATTTTCTGTGATTACTTTTTTGTTTGGGGAGGGTGGGGGAGATAAAATCATACTTTCCACATTTCCATGTTAACCGAATGTTTTCTTGTGTTTAAAGCACACATACAACCATCATGTGGAGATACGTACAAGTCCAAAACCCACCCTATTGTAAACTGTGCAATATTCACGTGTTAATTAAGTTTTAAGCCAGTTAGTCTTCACGTTTCTTATACTAATAATATTTTTGTAACATTTTTTAAAAGATGTTTGTCAATATTCGTATTCATTTATTTACTCAAACTTTGATTCATATTGTGTTGATAAAAATTTATAAAAGTGGAACTTGTTGTTATGTAATATTAGGAATAATATTGAAGCATCCGATTTTAAAAGAAACATAGTCGGCCAAACAAGTTTGACATAGGCATCAGAACGCCCTATTTTGGCCACTCCGCGGTACTTTCCTCAGATGTACGTGAAGTATAGGATTGTTTTATTCACAGGGATGAGAAGAATATGATTATTGAAAAGATATGTTCGAACAGTTGGGTTACAATACAACGACTGAAGAACGCCTGAAAGTACAAATTAAAGGAAGCATTGTGTTTTTGAGGCGGACGTGTACATGCCATTGTCAAAGGTTAACTTTAATAGTTTGCCCAGGCACCCGGTTCTCCATCTCTCATCGTTCAATCGCACTCCCTCCTATATTTTCATATTATCTTAACTCTTGGTAACTCATAACTTTGGCATTCTAGTAATGTAACTTAGTCGAAATTCCGAGTTAATAAGTCGAAATTTCGAGTTACTAAGTCGAAATTTCGAGTTACTAAGCCGAAAATTCGAGTTACTAAGCCGAAAATTCTAGTTACTTAGTCGAAATTTCGAGATTAGTAAATCGAAATTTCGAGTTAGTATGTCGAAATTTCGAGATAATGTAACTCAAAATGTCGAGATAAGTTACTTGAAATTTCGAGTTTGTAACTCGAAATTTCGGGTTAATAAAAAAACACACACCTGGCACCAATGCTCTTCCGTAAAAAACAACCTTTAAAGTGTACTCAGAAATGAAACTTCATGTACACATTTACAAAAAATATACTTAAAATTAAATCAGTCTTACCAAGGATGACTTCAAAATTTAAAATAACTACTTTCTAAACTACAACGGGTTGTGCCTTATTCCGTGTCGGGGTGACACCTAAATAGACCGGTGCTCCTTGCCGGTAGTCCTACATGTGTTGCTGGGTCGTGTGGAAGTAGCATTCATTAAACGCCGCCCTTCCTTGTTGATCTTGTTTTTCATATTTTGTAAACATGATTGAATGCAATCTCTAGTTTGAATGGTTATATTTAAAGCTTATTCACTTCTTGGGGAATGATTAAGGGAAAATCCTGATCAGAGACATAGAAAACGTCTCTGTCCTGATGTACTACCCGACATTAGACTGAAGGTGTTAAAGTGGACAATTAAAAAAAGTGTCACAGGTTTCTGAAAAAAGTAAACGACTAGCATCTTATATTTCGGGCCTCATTTGCCTTTGATAGTGTTGATGTTTAAAGTTTAAAGATAATAATTAAGCGTCACATGTGTCTGATTTACCATAATTATTAGTCTACAGTAGAGTATCTGATTAGGTGAATGGTCACTTTATTCAGTGTACTCAATAATATTGAATTGGTTCACTCATATTTATTTAAGCTCCATTGCAAAAGTTCTTGCAACTTATATTAATCACTTTCCTGACACTATATATAATTAACCAGTACTGGTGTCATATATGAAGAAACATGGTCGTGACCCGAGTAAGGCTCGAACCCATGATCTCTGGATTGAGAAGTAGACACCTTAACCACTAGGCCACTGCTCTCATTGAATAAACTAATTTTAGAAAAAAATAGGATGTTTTGTCAATAGTCTATTGACAGGGGCGTAACGAGGCGTTTCCTGTACACCCGTGCGTACAAACAAATTCTATGTATTCTTAATAAACATCTGCGCTAAAATTTCTATACATTAATAAAATCAGAGGGGACCGTGTGATAAGCTAGGGCATTCTTATAGGCCTACTGACTCTTTAGGCTTCATCAAATTCATTAATTTGAATTCATGAAACATTCCAATCTGATTAAAATTAGCTCTAAATAACGCTCCGCTTTTAGATCTAACCGTGACCAAATACGAAGTCATTTTATTCTGCTGTCTTTTCACACAGCCAATCATCGACGAGCTGTCATAATTTTGAAAGTGATGTGATTTCTATTTTTAACCCTGGGGAAACAAATACTGTGTAGGTAATTTTCACGATTTCGGAAACAAACATGGCGTTGTCCATATAGCCGGCAGGTAAACTGGCAAAATACGAATACGAATACGAAAATTTTATTCAGCATTAAACATGTTACAATGTTTATAGCCTATACAAATTCTATTGTACAGTGTGAACAAAAAACATAGAAGAAAGAAAAGCAAACAAAATGCATTTTTTACATAATAAATTATACAGTTATCAGAAGAGATTGTTTAATGAAACATTATTCTGAAAAAAAGTATCATGATTATGTAATGTCGAATAAACATGTAAATGTATCATTACATATATATAACCCTATTGAAATATTAACAATATTTACGTGATTCTAATGAAAAAATTTTTACACAATTCTTCTTTTATTTGCAAAGTAGACAAATTTAGCTAAATTCAATAAATCTTTTGTAGAGTTTGTTGACATGAGAGCCCTAAATTTATTCAAAGTCGGCCACTGGCAGTAATAGCGTTTAAAATATTTATTTCTCAAATCTCTAAAATGTGGACAGACCATCAAAAAATGGTACAATCTTGCTCATAAAAAATTGACTCTATTATTTCATGTTAAATTGTTTAAAATTACTTCAAACATTTTTTTACAATAAAAATCAACAATTTGTTTAACTTCCACGGATAACGGTATTTTGATACTTCGAGATCTTCTAATGCCTATGCAAGAACCGGTTTGATTGCATGCTTGGGAAATCCGAATTATCAAGAAGGCGAAACATATACGGTCGTCATCAGATCTACATAAAAGTAATAATTAGACCTGAACTGTAGCATTCAATCATCGAATGAGCTAGTGAAATATACTGAAAACATTATAAGTTACCTTTATAGATAGTGTTAAGAACTATCGTTATGACTGTTTACGATAAATTTAGATTTTGAAAGCATCTGTAGTTATGCACTGATCTACTATCGCGTATAAAGTATACAAGTATATTAAATATGCTATCCCTCCGAAAAGCTTATGGCGCCTGGGGTATTTTCCGAGTACTGACGGCGTTTTTTTACGCGCCGTACGTGCTTCTTATTCGGCGAAGGTCACCCGAAGAAATGTTTCTGTCCAAACCTTTTACCTTTATCCCCGTATCGAACTTTTTAGTTCTTATCATTTCACTTATTACATATCTCTTTCCTCCTTTTGCCACCCTCGTGTCTTTAAGTTCGGTGCCCTCTGGGTGCGGGCTGTTGTGTCGGGGCTGCGTTAGAATGAACGTCGTCTTGTCATGTTTATCTTTGTTCTAATCTTTTGACCAGGAAACAAGAAACAGATTGTTTTTTTTTTCGAAAGTAGAAAGTAATAATTATTGCATTTGCAGATAATTACTTGGCCGTGCTGAAAAATCAGAAAAGAGACTCATAGTGCTCTATTTCATGTCAGTTCTATGCACTTATTTGACATAATCCCCAGATTCTTGTATTAATTGTTGCATTGCGATGAGTCATAAAAAATCCCATTCGCTGTTTGTAATTTCCTTAGTAAGCTAGACTCTGTGCCAAAGCTTGAGGAATCGTTTCACCCTTATAACAGAGCTTCTCCAAATAAAATTTTTAAAAAAGGGTTTTCAGAGGATTTTTTTATTACATATTTTCCAAAAATGGTTGTTTTTTGTCTTCCTATTTACAAGCCCTGCACCCGTGTATTTAAAAAAGGGCTTTAAAAAAAAGAACGTATTTCCCCCTTTTTTGGGCCCAAATTTAAAAATTATGTGTATTTTGGGAAAATTTTGGGAAACTAAAAAGCTAGGAAACAGGGAATTTTAAAAGAAACGGAAGACTTTTTTAAAAGATATTTTAAATATATAAATAAATAAAAACTCAATTGGTTTTTTTTTTTAAAAAAAATTTCACTGGGCCCCGGTTTTTTTTAAAAAACTTATTTGATAATTTTTAAAATTTTTTATCTTTTTTTACTTTTTATCATTTGGGATAAAAAAATCTTTTTTAAAAATAAAAAAAATTATTAAAAAAATATCTTTTTAAAGATTTAAAAGCGTTGTAAAAGGGGAAAATTTTACCAAATTTATTAAAAATTTTTAAAAAATTTAAGTTTGGGTTTTTCCAGAAGCCTTTTTCCCTTTAACCAAAAAATTGGTTTAAATTTTTTTTATTTTTTAATTTGGGAAAAGGGTTTTAATTTAAAAGGGGGCTTGTAGAAACCAAAGGTCAAATTTAAAAAAAATTTCTGGTTCCCAGCAAATTTAATTTCAATTTTAAATTTGGAGATTTTAGTTAAAATTTTAATATTTTCATTTTGAAAAAAATCTGCCATTTTTTTTTTTTTTGTATGATCAAAATTTTTGTAAGAAAAAAAGAAAAATTTTACTTTGTTTATTTGAACAGATAAAACTCTGACAAACGTGTTTAAATCTTTTTTTAAACCCCAAATTGAGATTTTTAAACCGTACACACAGAAAAATTAAATTTTAAAACCTTACAAAAAAAACAAAAAATTTTTTTAAACCCTTTAAATTTTAAAAGCCCCTTTTTTTAAACCCCTTTTCCAAATCATCCCTTTTTAAAGGAAAAAAAAAAGGCAAAAAATCTAAGGGCAAAAAGCCCTTTTTTAAATATAATTTGTTGTTTTAAAACCTTTTTCTTTGAAATGGTTATTTTTGACAAAAATGCCCAAAACCCTTTTTTTTACTTTTGTTTAAAAAGGATTTTTTTAAAACCCTTTTTTCAAATTTCCCTCGATTTTTTTTTTAAGAGACAGGGGGCAATGTTTTTCTTTTTTAAAAATTTAAAACAGTTTAAATTTAAAAATAAAAACATACATTTTCAAAGTTCCTGAAAGGGGGGAATTTTAAGATTGAGTCCGGGTGTTTTTTGGGCCAAAAAAAATTTTCTTTAAAAGATTTTTATTAGGTTAAAAAAAAATGACTTTTTGCAACAAAAGGGCCCTTAAACAAACCTTTTCCAAAACCCAAAAAACAACCCAAAGTTTTCCCGGGAATCAGTTTCGTATTGATTTTGCTCCTTTTACACTTTAAAAAAACTAGGGGCCCCCATGTTGTTTAATTTTTAAATTAAAGGTATTTTTTTTTAGGGTTATTATGGTAAAACAGTTTAGTTCTTTCGAAATATTTTTTAATATTGGTGATTCTTATGGGTTTTTTGATTTAATTTTTTGGCTTTTTTTCTCTTTTTTTTGTTTTAAATGAACCCAAAATTCTTTAGTTAAAACACTATGAGTAAACACAAGGGCCCAAATAAGTAAACCTTTTTTTTGAGAAATAAAAAGCATCATAATTTTCTTCTCGGGCCCCTTAAAAGTCCCATTTTCCCCCAATTTCCCGATGACAAAGGCCCTTTAGGACAAAGAAACCCGAGAATAAGCATTGGGATTTTAATGGAAAAATTTTTTATAGTTATTTTCGAACCCAATGCTAATGCTTTTTAAAATACGTTTTCAGTGAAATCACTTTTTGAAAGAATAGATCGGTTTTTTTTCTTTTTTTGTTAATCGGATTATTTTTAAAAGAGGTTAAATTTCTTTTTTGTTTTTTTTTGAATTTTTTGTTTTTTTCAGGGGGAAAAAAAAATTTTTTTTCACGCAAGGGAATTAAAAAGTTAAAAAAAAATACTTTTTTTAAAAAGTAATATTTTGGGAAATTTTTAAAATTTATTAAAATTTTTTGCCTTTTCCCGTAAAAATTAATAGTAAAATTTTACTTTTTTCCAAAAAATTGCATTTAATTTTCTTGAAATAAACCAAAATTTTTTCCCAAATTTACAGCCCTTTTTTGTTTTGTTGAACCCCAAAAAAACTTTACCCAAACCGACTTTGGGTCCACAAATTTCCCTTAAATTAAATTTCTTTTAAAATTTAAAATTTTAACTAATACCCTTAAAAGTCTCTTTAAACCTTTTTGTACTCAAATTTAAAAGGGTTTTTTTGAAACAAATTTTTTGGGGGTTTTTTAAAGTATTTTGCAGTGTATAGATAACTCGATTAATCGATTTGTTTGTAGAAAAAAAATATACGAATACGAAAGGTTTATTTGCATAACGGAAAAATATAATGCTCATAACAAGTATAAAGTGTATTATATACAATGTTTGGAGATCAAAACATGGATTTTACAGCAAACATAAGATGATACACAATAATAATAATAACAATAATAATAATAATAATAATAATATACATTTACTGATTCCATAGGACTTTGAATAATTCTAAACAAATGTGCCAGATTAAGCTCCATTGAAACTACCTTTTCACTTTATAAGCAAACATCTTGCCGAATAACAAACAATTTTCATGCATTTCAGGAAATACTTTGAAAAGCTTTGAAACACATATTTTGCAAAATCATTGAACACGTACAGGGTTTGTAATGTACTAAAGCATATTGTGTGTGCTTGTGTGCGTGCGTTTGTGTTGGTGGATGGAAAGTCCTCGCCACCGGAATGTACCGTATAGACGAGCATACACTTTTCGGGATCTTGATTTATATCCCTGTGTTAATATGTTTACCATAACTCATATCAAAATTGCTTCTATATTTAGGAACACTAAGTGATATGAGAAAAAGGTGGGATTACTGCTACACTAAGTCGAAAGCTTGTTTAAGAGACGAACATTTCTACTGTTTAAAAGGGCAAAACATTTACAACTCCAGTGTCTAATATAAAGAGCAAGACTTACCACTAACAAAAAAGTCGTGGTGGGCCGATAAAATTTCCGTTAAAGAAAGAGTAAGTTTACACTTCAATTTTATCACGATTTAGATCACGTCACGAAGTACTTAAAGCATTTTTTTAAAGCAACGCCTCCAGATTCGTTTTTTTTTCATGAAATATTAGAAATTGTCTAAAAGTGTTAAAGCTGGAATTTGATAATGGCTATCGACGAAAATATAATTAATGTGTAGAAGTTTGTTAGTTCAGCTTTTGTTCAGTAATATAAGTGATAGAAATGTCACCATAGTAACTTCAGTTTAACTTCACATCGGGCTGGGAACCTTTATACACTCCTTAAGGTCTATTATGTGTCGGAAATGCTTTTATTATTATTTGTATCCTGGTACAATCTTCAAAATGTTAGTCAGTGACTAATTTTCTGAGGGATCCTTTGATTCTGAATTAGTAAAAGTATAGCAATTAGTAATTAAAAGATATAAGTGATTTTGTATTGAAGTAAAAATACTAATTTGTTTACATTTTGCTACTTTTTAAACAAATTAATTCATATTCAGTGCTAATTTTCACAGGTGATATGCATCTAAAGTGCTCTAGAACCATTATTTAAACGTTAAAAACTCATGTTGGCCTTTTCTTAAGAACAAAAAAACAACAACTTTGTTTCTATGGTATAATGTGCCTTTAAATTTACAATATTCATATACATGTACACTATTCATGTACATGTATTTGATGTATTCAATTGACACTTGATCCGCCTCATTATATACATCAACAGGAAATCCACCAAAGTTTAAAAAGAACTTCTTTACTGAATACAATACTACTTATTGTTTCAATAGGACACTTAAATATATCTGATCAGCGAGAAACAACAATGTTAAATGACCTTACTTAGTGGTAAATAAATCTTCCTAGCGATTATCTGTACTTGTACAGAAGAAAATACAACTTTATTATACAAATACCAATATTGCAAATTATTATTACAAGCGTATTTATAAGATTTGTACACTTTTACTTGAATTTCTTATTTAATTGTTACATGTATGTTTTCTCGGGTATTTAGAATAATATCTTTGAAACTCTTCATCTTTCTATATTTTAAAAGTTTACAATACTATAGAACATTTAAAAACCACTGAACTGTATCATTATTAATTGACAAATCTACATTAACATGATACTCCGACATCTTCATCATGTTTACAGTTACTTTTTCCCCAGCCGTTATGCTTGCAAAACAACAAATTGCTCTCATAACCTGTACAGAAGACGTCGTCGAGGAAAATTGGATCTTTTCCTGCTGGTACACTAACGTTGGAACTAGCAGATGTTCTAGAACGTGAAAACAATATAGTTTAAAGATCCTGTAACACAATTTTGTTTTGGTTTTATATCATAAATATGATATTCAAATTAAGATTAATCAATATTGTTAGTTTGAAAAAGCATTATTTATAAAGATATTACCGAATTTAACATTTCATGTAAATAAAGGGAGGTAATTAGAAATTTATTTTTCTATAAAGTCTAAGTCAAATTTTCAATAGGAAATGAATGCATATATTTTAATGATTACATATGCTGTGCACAAATATTTGCAGTACATATTTTACATATTCTTCGATGTTTGAAAATTGTTATATATATATATATATATATAATTTCACTTAAGTGTGGTAACAACCTCAAATTACAACATACAGGATCTAATGAGGTTTTAATTGAGTGATATTATCCTGGAGAAGATGCTGATTATTATTTTATCAGCTCTATTATTTACATGTATGTCAGGATATCTGACGTCCTAATTTTGTTTTAAAGATTTTGTTAAAAGGCAGACTATTACAAACAAGTTTGAATACATACGTTGGGTAATTTAGCATTTTACAAACAACTGTGGCTGCAGAATCAGTAAATAAGTCGTTACACACTGTGCCCCATGTATGTCCATCTAAAGAAACTTCTACTCTACCACTACGACGGGCATTGCCATCAACAAGTCGAATCTTTAGTTCTTTAAATGAAAAAAAAATAAAATAAATAAACAATTACGTTTCAACATTGTTTAGCATTAGATTCATGATAGAATATACTATTATGTACGATCTATTTTACATTTACATACATTTCATTGACTGTTTCGTGAAATGTTTTATTAATCAAATTTAGAAGAAGTACAAGAATAAAATATTAAAATTTTCTCTTCCATATCAATACATGTAAAACTGTTAAAAAATTCAACTGCAAAGCAATTAACAATGTTTTTAAAAACAAAACAAATAATAAAAAGCAAAATAGTTACGTGTTTTGAACACGAGAAATAACACACGTGTCACACATCGCTGATCTCGAATCGAGTTTTCCAGGAACAGGATTTTCCCAAAAAATCGCTGCCCTTTTTTGAACAAAATTTCGTGATCCTCTTCTATATCACATTGTGATGAGGCAGGTTTGACCAAGACGTCCCAATCGCCACCCACAAATACATCTACCTGGTTTTTTTTTGAACCTCGGAAAAAAGCCCTTAAAGTTTTAAGATAAGACTCCCTGGAGCTTTCTTTGTAAGCAACATATAACATATGACGGCAGGAAGGTTTTTATAATCTCGACATGATGATGATTATGATGATAATGACCTACTATGTTAATTTTACAATATCAAAATTACTTAATTATTTTTTTTTCATATATGTAACAACAAAAAAAGCGTATGCCTAAATATGTATTTCATATTTATATATCATCAAAAGTATAGAGAGCTTTATCTGTCAAAATGGAGCATCGTGACATATACTGCCCTTTATGTAGGGAGCTATATGGCCAGGTACCGAAGAATAAAGCTCCCTGGAAACATTTATTCGTTAGAGATATTACGGCGTAAATAGCTTATTAATTAGTTTTTTACTACATTTTAAAATTCCTAACTTTAATTATATGCAATGACAATGTTTCCAATGTCTTTAAAAATTTTTTATAATACAAAAAATTTATTCAATTTTTCAAAAAAAATATGTATAAGGCGACTAACCGGGGCATGCTGTTTGACACGGGGAAACTGTTTCTGTACCATTACCATTACAGTCAAAGCCTTATCTGCGGAAAAACCTCGTGCATGTCCGAATCCTCTTTTGAATTTCCTTTGTCCACTTTTGACGTTAAAAATGCCAAACTGACATTTTTGCCCAAATCCTTTTTACCTTGCCCCTTCAAAGTTAAAATCCACGATTTTTTTTATACCGAACATGTTTGTTGTTTCTTAATAGCGAAATTACTGTCACTTGAGGAGGTCTCCATGGTCGAGTGGTTGAGGTTGTCGACTTCAAGTCACTTGTCCCGCACCGCTGCTCATTTTCATTAATTAATTTGTGTTAATGCGGTTATAATTATATTTTGACCGTTTTATTCAGATATCATTTATGTTAATCAGTCAAAGAAATCGGAATCAGTTGATTGATGATATCTATAGCTTTCACAGCAAAAGTTTTGTAGTACAATAGCATCTCTCGGTCATTTCCGTCACCTTCCGGTAAATATTGGGGTCCCGATTTTAAACAATTTAACTCAAAACGGAAACAACAAGTTCGTACTATATCTGCCTGGTGTTTCTTATTAGTAAGCAATAAAAATAAATATCATATTCTTTGTTTAATATAGCTGTTATCATGCGCCTACTTGGCCTGTATTGAATTTGAGACGCCCATGGATAATGGAATAGGCAAGTTGATAAAGAAAATCGTTAATATTTATCTTATATTACCTACCGGGTATTTGAAGGCAATGAAACGTTCATAATACATGCATTTTTCATTTAGAAAACATTGTATAAGGCGACTAACCAGAGCACTCGCTGTTTTGACACTGAACTGTTTCTGTACCATTACCGTTACAGTCAAAGCCATTATCTGCCGGAGAAACGCTCGTGCATGTCCGAATCCTCCATTTGAATCCTTGTCCACATTTGACGTTACAAGGTGACCAAACTGACCAGTTTGTCCAAATACCAGTTACCGTTGCCCCTTCAAAAGTTAAATCCACCATTTTTTTTATAACGAACATGTATGTTGTTTCTTAATAGCGAATTTACTGTCACTTGAAGAGGTCTCCATGGTCGAGTGGTTAAGGTTGTCGACTTTTATTTATTTATTTTTCAATTTTTCAATTTTATTTAAAATAACACTCAGTTTGTTTAATATACAAAAACATGAGAAAATCATATAATTATGTAAACATATGAAAGAAATAGGTCACTGTGATGCTTTCACATAACAAAAAATAGGTATATAACATAGAGGACAACAATATAGATTTATGTTTATAAGCTGATATATCATATTTAGAAAATATAGTTTTTAGTTTTCGTTTATAAAACAAGAGTAAATAAATGTTAAGTATCGTTTGTTAGAAGTCTAATTGCGTAAACCGTGAACTGCGCTGACAGATGGCCTATCCTAAAATAGATCACGTGGTTAAGGGAATTTTGTTTCAGTACTCTCTCGGATTGGTTTATTTTTATCACCGCCCCAAATACATGAGCTTCGTACTGATTGACACATCGTGCTTATTTCAGGTGTGAATCACCTAGGATTTATGAAAAGTTAATTTACATGATTATTTAACAATTTTGAAAACAAAAGAATAAATAAAAGATATGTGTCGTTCAAATGACATTAATTTTTTAATGGAATATTCAATTTAATGTTGTAATTTCAAAAAGATATTCAGACTTGTTTATTTGTAACGTATTTTGTGCGCTGTTTTTCATTCAAATAAGAATGGATTATCGATGCTCAAGTCACTTGTCCCGCACCGCTGCTCATTTTCATTAATTAATTTGTGTTAAAGCTGCACGCCTCCAGATGAGCCAAAATATTTCAAGAAAATCAATATTTAGAAAAATGTACTAAAATTTTAAGAAAGGTCAAAATATTGAAGATCCAAGTTAATTTTACATGTTATGTGCGGTTTAAGACTGATTTTGCAGTATTTTATAACCTTATTTCTACTGCGTTACTAACGCAGTAAGGGCTGTTTTTGCATATGCGGACTACTTTTTGGTAATTTTCTTGGATTATAAGTGCCGATTGCAATATGTAAATTACTTTTTTTGTTCACCTCACAATATTTTACTTTTAAAATACATTTCCAAACTTTTCATAAAAATTAACATGAATCTGGAGGCGTGCTGCTTTAATGCGGTTATAATTATATTTTGACCGTTTTATCCAGATATCATTTATGTTAATCAGTCAAAGAAATCGGAATCAGTTGATTGATGATATCTATAGCTTTCACAGCAAAAGTTTCACCAAGAACAGATACAATAGCATCTCTCGGTCATTTCCGTCACCTTCCGGTAAATATTGGGGTCCCGATTTTAAACAATTTAACACAAAACGAAAACAACAAGTTCGTACTATATCTGACTGGTGTTTCTTATTATTAAGCAATAAAAAATAAAGATCATATTCTTATTTGTTTAATATAGCTGTAATCATGTACCAACACACTTGGCCTACTTGGCCTGTATTGAATTTGAGACGCCCATGGATAATGAAATAAGCAAGTTGATAAAGAAAATCGTAAGTACTTACCTTTACTATTTGAAGCTAATAAAAAGTATAAACAAACAGATACTGCGATAAGCGACACTCCGATAAAAATTGTATTTACGATGGTACACCTAAACAAATGTGGTGTAGACTTTTTGGCTGAAGGAGTAGTTTGATCTTCAAGCTTCTCTGTGTTTTGTTGAAGAGTATCATAAATTTGTTCTTGTTCAGTCCCTACATCTTCCGGCGCAATCTTAGTATAAATATCTATTGCTGTGTCTGAGGTCAATGAATATTGCCCGTTAAAATTGTTTAATTCCATGTCTACATTCACACTATCAAAGCATTCCCTGTTTTTATCAAAATCAAGTCAAATTAAATCAAATCAAATTTATTCATTCAGTGCATCATACATCATACAACATTACAAAGTTTATATGGTTGAATTACTTAGTTTATTGAATATTGTTAATCCTTGTATACATTTTAAGTAGAAACTTCTTTTCCAATTTTAACTCATTGTTTTCTTCTTTGAACACTTGATACATTTTGCGATGTTTGTGTCTGTTTTTAACTTCCTAGTGAAAGTTCTTGAAAGTTCTTGAAACATAAGGACTGTTTTATGACTGTAGGTCAGAGTTATTAAAGTACACAGTTCGACCTCCGACCTTTTGTGACAAAAAGTCATTATGTTGTTGTTGTTTTATTGTTATTAATGATGACGATACGCACAATAAGACTTGGTACTGATCATGCCTGTAAAGTTTGGATGAAATTGCACCAGTAGTTTATGAGGAGTAGCCCGGACAAGTTTTGTGATGGACGGTCAGACGGACATACAGACAAACGACGGAGATCGCCACTACTTAACAGGCGACACAAAAAAAGCTTTTTAAAATGTCCCTATCCGGTATGTCCGGTCATATCCGTAGATATGAGTCATAACCCTTGCATTACGTCATACCACATTTGCATTTTGTTAATAGTTACTATATTTGAATTTTTAAAACAACAACAATTAAAAAAACAAACAAAATATATAGGCCGATTATGAAAAATATTTGATTATGTGACTAGCGCCTGTGCAAAAAACAAGAAACATTAATAAAAACCCTAAAAACATCAATAACTTTTCCTTTAAAGATACATGCATGTATGAAGAAATGACTCTTTCATTCGAACTAAATTCATAATTATGAAAAATATATAGAAGAATATAGAAGAGTTAGGCTGCGTTATCTGTTAATGTTTGACTCTTCGTGTGTCACAAACTATGGTGGCTTATTTGTGCCATGTCATATTTTCGCATTAAGGTGCACCAGAGAAAAATATGACAAAGTGAGAACTTTCGTGCCAAACAAAAACATGACGGAATGATCACTTTGTTACGGTGTCCCGTTAGGGCCATCGCTATATCGCGACACACACACATTACTCGAAACAACGAAAACACATTTTACAATCGCGTTTTCGTTATTTTGACTTTTCACCATTGTATTTTTGAGTTTTCGTTATTTCGAGTTATGTATGTGTATTACAGAACCCAATTTTTATGATTATGAAACTTGATTTTATCATACACAGCAATTCTGAAGAATTGTTTAAGATTTCATTTTCGTTATCTAAAAACGCTTTAATTGAAACGCAGTACGCACATTTTTAACATATAATTCAAACTTGAAAGACCCTGTTCAAACAATAAAATAATATGCTTTCAAACTTTTCAAAATCTCATTTAAATTTAATATGATGATTCATGATATGACGTAGCATCAATGTGAAGTTTTAGATTCTAGTGAATAAGACTTATGTCATGGTTCAAAGCGCTTATAATAATTACAGGCTGTCCAGCACCTTCTGACAAATTTTAGGGCAATATTAAAGAAATTTTAGGGTTAAAATTAGGAATTTTAGGGTACGTAAAAGAAATTTATGGCTAAAATTTGGAATTTTATAACTAAATTATGGCCCCAAAATACCATGGTAACTTTGCATATTTTACACACAGTTACTCACAAATAATGCTCTAGTTAAGTTGTAACAAAGGTGTCTACCAGTGTTCCATAGTCATCAGTGAATAAATTGTATCACTGTTCAACTGCCTATAAATGCCTTCTCTGAATAACAAGAGCTTAAAAACTACATTAAAACATAATTAGAATGAAAAAAACATTTTCAAATATAAGTATGTTTATAACTAAAGATAAAAGTAGGAATTTAGGTGAAAAATATGGCATTTTTAGGAATTACCTTAGTTTTGAATTTTTCTTTTAGGAATTTTAGCAAAACTGAAAAAAAAAGAAGATTTTTTTTAGGAATTTTAGGGACGCTGGACAGCCTGTTAAGTTATGAAGCTTTACAGGAAATAGTTAGAAAATACTTAATGTGTAATAGCAATATTTTCTCTAAAAAGTCCCTCTTTTAAAACATTCCCCTGATTAATTACTTTAAGTTTAACATTATCAGAATATGATCTTTTACTGATGACAATCAACATATTTTCGTCAGTGTATAAATCATTTGAGTGGTCCAAATGTGAAGAATTGGAGCACTTGTTTATACTTTATCGATTAGGTAATCTTAGATGCAAAGAAGGCATGTTCCCACTAAATGGTAAAAATGTATAGTATCTAATACTTTCAGATATAATGTTTAAAGAATACAAAAAAAAGAAAAAGAAAAGAAAGAAGAAGGATTACATTTCACTTAGTTACATTGTTTCAACCCCATCCCTTATTTGTATTACATACAATTTCTTATATAATCAGTTAAAGTAAAATGTTTAAAAGTGTGGTTTTATTATTATTATTATTATACAATGTACAATTTCATATGTAACAATCTTAATTATGTTTCTAATATCTACAAATAATACTTATCTTATATTTTCTATTGCTCGATTTATGTAATTTTGTCTTTTGTCGATTGATGCATATGTTTGTTTAATTACGGTAAGTTAGAGGACACTGAAATAATATGGTCCACTGAATATCTGTAAACTGAATATGGGGTGGTTTTTGATTATTCATGAAAGTATATATTTTTTTGTCGTTGAAGATGAGAATTAAATAAGTTTTTGCCCAGAATGTTTTGATTGTCTCTTCATATAATTAAACAAGCGAAAAATTATGTGTGTAAAGTATGCAAATTTAATAGCTGGAAGCAGCACGTGACTTCCATAATCGCTAAAATCTCTTTTTTTGATAGGTATTCTTTTTATCTGGTTTCACTATGGTGTATATTACAGAGAGCTGTGTCACAACTGTTTAAGTTATTAATTTGTTTGTGTGTGTTTTTAGTTTTATTTATACTGGGCGCCGGCTGTCGGGCTTCTGTTACGTCGCTGGTCGTAGAGCCTGCAACGGACGACTTAGGACGCCTGCAACGTCGCTGATCATAGAGCCGCAACGGAGGTCTTCTCATGCCGTCTGTCGTCGTATATCTTCTCTAGGACCCAGCTCTTCTCTTCTAGAACGCAGTAGACAATAGGAGAAAAGGCCGGGAGCAGCAGCTCTTTGTAGGGCCACAACCTTCGCCGTTGGTTAGGTCACACCGGCTAAGTGACATAACTAGGTCACCCATCTGGTGTGACCTATGCCCTCCGAGCGACGTGCATTTGTTTGTTAGTTTTGATTGGGTTTTTTATGGTGGCTGATTTGGAACGCTTTTGTGCGTCGTGTTGGCGCTAAAGACAACAGGACAAAGCGCCAAACGGCGCGTTGTCGGACATTGTCTTGTCGTCAATAGTAGGAAATTTTCGTAACAGTTTTCTTGGCAACTACTTGTCACAGCCTTTTGATATTTGGTATACAGCATTAACACATAGTCCCATACCGTAAACTACAGAATTTTACTTGCCCGGACCTACAATTGTACGACTCGGCAACTCGGACAATTGATTTTGCCGGCCCTGTCATATGCAACTCGGCCTTTTCTGTCTTTGACCCATTTTTGAGCTATGTGTGACACAATTTGAAAATTGCAAATATTTACTAAGTCAAGGGCAATAACTCTACAAATACTAAATAAAGTCACACGAAAATACCCAGGTGCACAACTACACATGCTGATCAACATTCCAGTACAGTTTCATAACCCTAAGTTCATCATAACGTTTTGAGTTATTTATATGCGACACAAAATGAAAATGGATGGACGGAAGGACGGTCGTACTTTGAAATGGTACTTATGTGACTTTTCCTTTGACCTTTTTCCCAATTTTAGTCACACAAGGCTTAAATAAAAGACACAGAAGAAAAAACGGAATGACTAGGAGCAAAAAGAATTTACTGTTACCCATTGTTCTCCAAGTCACACAAGTACATGTACCTCTGGGTTTGTACGGATTGACAAGGGTAAATCTATCCCCCATCCCACAAAAGTGGCGGCACAAAAAAAATCATTGCAATAATGACGGTATTCCTCAGTTTAAACTGCGTAGATAAACTTGTTCTTGTAACTTTGAACTCTGACAAAACACTCGATTTTAAGTACCATAAGAAAGAGAATTTCAAGGAAAAGTAGTTGACAGATCTAATTTCATCTATATATATTGTCCTTGCAACAAGGAACACTTTCAGGGCTTACTTAAAGGAACTCCACTGAGGTTTATAAGCCTAAAACATATTATTTTAATTTTCACATCGATAAACATGAGCACTTTAAACAGAAATACAAATAAGATATAGCTAGGAAATACACAAGAAATACATTGAAAATCATATGTTTGTGCTATTGTCAGTCCAATTTGAGTGAAAAGTGTTTAAACGCTTTTCAATTTTGGGTTAGTTTTCACTATTATAACAATTATTCTGGAAAAACGGAGCGACCTAATGATCTGAAATTTTGCACATAAGTTATTAGTATAAACCTACATTAAATGGAGTAATAATCTCAAAATATTATTTCCAGTCCCGTCATGGCAAAAAACCTCAGTGGAGTCCCTTTAACATATTTAATTAATTATCACATTAAACGTTTTGATTGTTATTTTATTTCCGTGTCAAGATGTTTTCCAAGTATTTAACTTTATTGAAACATGTTGTGGTTGTATTTATGAAAATTAATTTCCTACCCAAATCATTTAAAACAGGAAGTATTTTGCAAAGTTGATTGTTTGATATACATGTATGTGTTACCGTTAAGTTTTCATGAAACAATTGAATTTTCCATGCAGTTCGTGGAACATAAAATATGACAAGTCGTTTAGTTCAGTTACTAAAATGTTCATCCATTTCCATTTTGACCACTTATGATTGTTAATAGATCTACTTAACTGATTACTTTTTGTTAAAATATTAGGCTGTGTAACCTTTGTATAAGTAATTTCAGTATGAGTTTTAAATCAATATGAAAACATAACCAACATTTATTGTGAAATATTCTCATAGTTTATGGCTTTAAAGTCATAAAGTTGCTTCAGTTAAAACTAGAAATGTGTCCATAGGACACGGGTGCCCCCACCGCGCCACTGTTCTGTCAATCTTTAGGTCAAATATTTTTTGAATACTAAAAAATCTTTTACTAAGTTAAGGGCAAGAACTTTACAAATACTGAATAAATCCACAAGCATAACCCAATGTGCATAAGTACACATGCTGACCAACATTCTTTCA